GGTTATTGGGTTAAGGTTCATAAAGGGAGTCTAGAGGCAGGGAACGAGAGAGAGAAGAGGGGAATGAAAAATAGAAAAGTGTGGCAGCGACTAGGGGTGGGTTCAAAAAACTGAAAACCGAAAAAACCGAAAACCAAACTAAACCGAAACTGAAAAAACTGAACCGAACGAAAAAATCGAACCGAATTGAAAAAATCGAATCGAACCAAATTCTTTTGGTTCGGTTCGGTTTTAGTGATCTAGAAACCGAACCAAACCGAACCGAACCGAATTAATTAAATTAATTTTTTTATTTAATTATTTGTTTTAGGTATTATTTTCTAAACCCAATTTGTAAGTTAAAATGTGCTAAACCCAATGTGTTGCCAAACTTTAAGCTCAAAATATTAAAAAAAGGCCTATAAAAACTTTAAACCCTAATCTATTATTTTTCCCTCATATAAGGTTCCGGAACCAAACCTCAGCCTGAAGTACCTACATCCATCTCCATAGCACTATCTACTTCTGCCCCAGCTTTCTTTTCCTAATCTACTTTCATATAACATGTAACAGAATCCATAAACATTTATTTCGGGTAGATTACTTGCGTAATTTGTGATGGAAAAGAATCCAACACACACTAAATAAATCCACCCACGCATTACTTTTACTAATCAAGTTGTCAACATGCAGTTACAAGCAAACCGCCCTGATCTTTGAACAACATCATACAATTTAACTTTTCTAAGTCATTTGTACGATTTTTGTGTTGTGAGGTTGTTAGTTTGGACTTTGGAAAACTTGATTGATGATTTTAGTTCAACTTTAAATGTTTATTTTCATTGTCTTTGATTCTAGTTAGAATGCTTATGTTATGATTGTGTTGGAGATGTTAAAATTTAAAATTTCAATGTTTTTCATTTTTTGAAAAAAAAAAAAAAAAAAAAAACCAAAACCGAACCGAAAAAAATCGAAAAAAAATGAACCAAACCGAAATTTCGATTTGGTTTCAGTTTTGGCAAAAAACCAAACCGATTTGAACCGAACCCACCCCTAGCTGCTACTACTAGTGGCTAGGGTTAAAGGGTTTTGTTGATTTCTCATAATTTGATTGATGATTTTAGTTCAACTTTAAATGTTTATTTTCATTGTCTTTGATTCTAGTTAGAATGTTTATGTTATGATTGTGTTGGAGATGTTAAAATTTAAAATTTCAATGTTTTTCATTTTTTGAAAAAAAAAAAAAAAAAAAAAACCAAAACCGAACAAAAAAAAATCGAAAAAAAATGAACCGAACCGAAATTTCGATTTGGTTTCAGTTTTGGCAAAAAACCAAACCGATTTGAACCGAACCCACCCCTAGCTGCTACTACTAGTGGCTAGGGTTAAAGGGCTTTGTTGATTTCTCATAAAAATTAAAAAAATTCTAAAAAATCCTGGAGGCATGAGGGTTCAAACCCATGCCCTCCAACTTGAAAAGTTTCATTGAAACCAACTTGACAACAGGTTCAATTTTGTTATGATTGTATAACTAAACTATTTATAAAGTTTGAAAAAACATAATTAAATATATATATCGGTTCGGTTCAGTTTTCGAACCTCAAAAACTGAAACTGAACTGGCCAGATTTGATTTCGTTCGGTTTGATAGTTTCGGTTCCATTTTTTTCCTCCTCAATCCGGTTCGGTTGTCGTTTTTTTTCGGTTTTCGATTTTTTGAACCCACCCCTACCTCTCTTTCATCCTCTTCATCTTGCCTCCACGTTTTCGACTTCGATTTCAACAAATGGCTCAGATTCGCTCTCAATTTCCTCCCCTTCCACTCCCCGCACCCCGTTGCCTCCTCCCCCAGCTTTAACCAATGGCTCAAATCAAATCTGCTTGATTTGGTCGCACAGCGACCTCAACCCAACGAAGCACACCAACCTCGTCTCCTCGAGCTTGTTCTGGATGGAGATGTAGATATTTGATTCAGTTGGAATAACATTCGACCCGAGTTGACTTGATGATGGAGTCGTTCTTGTATCTGAGACTTGACCCAGATATGAAGTGTTGAGTCAATTCGGCAATTCAATCACTATTGGAGCTTTTGAACTTGAGATCGCCGGAGAACACGAAGTCTTGAGGTTGCCGGAAAGTACGAGGACGATGCCAGAGGACACGCTGCAGTGATGATGACGACGTTAAAGAAAACAAGACGACGCCCAAAAAGCAAGAGAGAGAGAGGAGAGAAAGAGAGAGATGTTGGACGAGGCGACGAAACACACCAGCCTCCTCGCAGAGATTTCAGTTCAAAAATCCTGAACACCCAAACGTCAACAACATGCAACAGATTCAAGTGTTTACGGTGACGACTAAGTAATATGCTTATGAAACTCCATATGTTCTTCGACGAATCTGAAGAGTGAGGGTGCGGTGGCTGAGTTGAGGGACTGGGTTTCTGGGTTGATAAAACATTTTTGTTTCTGTTTGGTTACAGGTTTCTGGGTTGAGCATGATGATGGTTGGTTAAGTTTTTTTAAGTATTTTGAAGAAAATTAATTATTGCTATTAAATATTTCTAAATGAATTTTTAGATTTTTGGCATTATTAAATAAGGGTTTTTTTAATTAACACCCCACAATTTGATCAAAACACCCCACAATCAAAATTTTCTTCTATAATTCCTAATTTACACTTCATTTAAACCTGCATAAAATAAAACTTCCCAGTCCATCACCATTGTTCAGATCCTCACCTTTTATTTATATTGTTTGCATTTTCTCAACATCATTATAATCATCTTTGTACTTATTTTTGTTCTTTTTCTTTTGTATGATATTCATATCAATTTTTGATTTGAGAACTACACCAAATCCAACTAGGAATTCCCAAACAAGGATATGAATATTATCCAGAAGAAAAGGTACAAAATAAGAACAAAACCTTAATGCAGTAGTGTGAAACCTGGATAATAGGATATGATTTTAGTTTCAAGATCATTATCAAAAGCAATTAGCTAGGAATGAACTCCTAATACAATTTCTAGAAACCTGCAGAAAAAGCTCCTTAGAAAACAGGGTACATGCAATGCTCTTATTGCCTCTCCAAAGGTTCAGATGATTCGAAGGACACAATGGATTCACCGGCCATGGTGCTGTGATAGGGTGGTTGGTTGTGAGATTTTTTTTTTATTTATTATTTTTGGAATGTGGCGTGGATTTAACAAAAAGAAGGGTAGAATTGGAATTATTGAGAAAAAAAATTAATTGTGGGGTGTATTCAACAAATTATAGGGTGTTAATAGAACAACCCTTAAATAATTGAGCCTTAGTTTATTTTTATTTTTTTTAATGTCCGCGTGGAGCTACAATAACACATGGATGCACAATTAACGTCCATGTGAGAGTCACGTCATGCTTTAGTGAAGTTGCTAACGGTCAACTTAACAGAAGTTGAATCTGAGAAAAAAAGGTAACTTGAGGTATGAGACTGGGATGAAAAATACTTGATGTATAAAAGTTTGGAAACAACGATACTGTCACATCCCGGGCTCGACTCCACCGTAGCACGATATTGTTTGCTTTGGGCCCCGACCACGCCCTCATGGTTTTGTTTCTGGGAACTCACACGAGAACTTCCCAGTGGGTCACCCATCATGGGATTGCTCTCGCGCGCTACTCGCTTAACTTCAGAGTTTCAATGGAACTCGAAGCCAATAAGCTCCCAAAAGGCCTCGTGCTAGGTAGGGATGAGAATATACATATAAGAATCACTTCCCTGGACGATGTGGGATCTTATTATCCACCCTCCTTAGAGGCCCGATGTCCTCGTCGGCACACTTCCGGCCAGAGATTGGCTCTGTTACCAATTTGTCACATCCCGACCCGAGCCCCCACCACATCCCGGGCTCGACTCCATCGTAGCACGATATTGTCCGTTTTGGGCCTCGACCACGCCCTCACGGTTTTGTTTATGGGAACTCACACGAGAACTTCCCAATGGGTCATCCATCATGGGATTGCTCTCGCGCGAACTCGCTTAACTTCGGAGTTCCGATGGAACTCGAAGCCAGTGAGCTCCCAAAATGCCTTGTGCTAGGTAGGGATGAGAATATACATATAAGGATCACTCCCCTGTGTGATGTGGGATCTTACAATACTTTCAGGGTAGTAAAGTAAGAATTACTCTATTTAAATTGAGAATGTCATTGTGACAATATCTTATGGGAACTTTATATACAAATTGTTCGATTTTGATTGAAGTCAAGTAATTTCTTTTGGGAACTTTAACGAAAAGCTTTCAGTACTATTCACTTTAACGAAAAACCATATTTTTACACTAAAAAGTCAATTATGGTACTATTCACTTTATCCTTTATTTTGTCCTTATAGTTAAAACTCAAAGTTTTCATGCAATTTTTATTAGTTTTCCTATTAGTTTTTTATTGGTGAACAACACAGATGTTCTTCATAGAAAAATCAACTGGTAAAAATGCTACATGTTAAATGCAAGGGATCTTTCAATTACATGCGGACCTTTTCTTTGTCCGAGTGTGAGGATGTGTATGATTTAAATTTTAATTAATTTAAATCAATTGAATTATTTGATTTAAATTTAGATTAATTAAAGATAATCCTTTAATTAATTTTTCGCCAAATGTTAACCCGTGTCACTCTTGATGACTTGTTCGGTTTTAATGAGTCACGTGTCATGTGTGTAACTTGTGAGGCCTATGGTGTGTGCCACGTGAGCCCTAGTATCCCAAAACTTTAATTTGGGGGTGCGTATTTATTTCACCGGTGCCTACAAGAGCATTTGAACTTGGACTGTATTGGATTGACGTTGAAGATGCAACCTACTGATTCAATTGATTCTTCACAATCCTCTGTCAATAATCGGATTGCTAAATATTAAGAGTTACAAATGAAAGATAATATTGTTTTGATGTAATCTAACGTTGAATAACCGTTAATTGTAAACTTAGAGAGAGAGAGAGAGGGAAAAAAAAAACGATAAACAAATTGATACCAAATAAGAGCATATTGAATCTCAAGGGTCGATCCCATTTGGATACTATATTAACTAATCAAAGAAATAATAAAAATCAATTACAAACTATTATTCTTATTCATCAACACAAAGTAAAAAAGAAGGCTACAAAAGTTATCCTAACATGAAAATAAACCAAAGTACTACTTAGTGGGAAGAGATCCTCTCCGGATCTCCCCCATCACGTCCACCAAATCCAGTTATTCGGACCCTTGAAATTTGATCCAACGGTTAAAGTTATTATAACTTTTAAAAGAGTCTCTGCTTTTAGTCATTGAATCAAATTTAAAATGTCCGGATCACTGAGTTTGGTGGATTTGGTGGGAGAGATCCGGAGAAGATCTCTTCCCCTACTTAGTTATTGTGTTTAGCTTTTTTGGGAACTCCAGGCGACCTACCCGGAACTGGTACGCCTACTTTCTTTGCATGAATAATCTTCATTTGCATACGCAACCTACTGAACATCTTCTCTACATCATCTGCAATGACAAGATCAGGAACTTCATCATTAATTAGTTACCAAACATTTATGTGTTAAACGATAATTTAATATACACATATGAGAGAGAGAGAGAGAGAGAGAGAGAGAGAGAGAGAGAGAGAGAGAGAGAGAGAGTAACTGTGCTTTGGATGTTCAGAAACATTGGCAAAGACTATTTTGGATGAGAACAATAGCAATAAAAGGATGGGAATCACGTAAACAACGCTGGCTTTGTCAACCATTTTATCAGATCGAGATATAAGTTTTGGCTCCTTAGTTCTCTAACTACTTATATGTAATGCGATCTCTAAGATGCGTTAGAACTAGTATTGCATGCTAAGTCAAGGTTTTGCCCATTAATTATTATTTTATGAGAGTCTTCCATTGTTCCATAAAATATAGATTATGCCATGAGAAATTTCTTATATGTGATTGATCCCAGTCCATCTCAAATTTATGACTTGTACCAAAAAGCTCGAGATGATACTATTATACTTATCAAATGATATAATTTTTTTTTTCTTTATTTAACAAAGTTTGGAGATAGGTTACAGACGAGTCTTTTTATCGAAGAGTTAGGCATTTCTAATCTCTCTGAGCGGAAAGAAAGTAGTATACTTGTAATTGATTTTAGAGTCTTAGTTATTTACATCCGTCTTATGCAGGTTTAGAGAGTAAGACTCCTACTATTGTAGTCAGACGACCAAGCTTTATACATAGTTCGACTTGATTAATCTATTATAATTCCTTCATTAAACAAAGAAGATGCAAAGTTGGACCGTTAACCAAAAGAAGATTAGTTTTTGTGTAAACAAGGTGTGTGTTAGGTGTTGAAGGCAATTGGTACGGTATATTTACATTTTTCTTCCCTAGATAATGATTTATTTGGTATCGATGGTAATGTCATGCACCTAAATGATAATGATAATTACTGTAAAAATGATAAGACTTTGTTGTTTTCTTGTTGTTTTATTTTCATCTTTCTTACTATATCTTTTCATCAGCTTTTTGCTACACAATGAGATAAACAAATAAAACAAAACATGCGTGTGAGGGCTGAAAAGCAAAAGGATATTTGCTTGCGGTCAGCTGGACTATAACCGCAGTTTTCTTTGACCGGAAGGCATGCAAGTCAAAAGTTTTCTTATAAATTATACTTTACCAAATCAAGTTTGGGATCGATTTCAATTTCTTATAATATCTTTAAAATATTTCAATTTCATACCTCAAGTACTATTTTATTTCAATATAATATATCTGTTACATTTTTCATCCATTGATTCGTTAAGAGCTGACGTGGCTGCCACATTTGTATCACGTGGCTGTCAAATATGTGTTACGTGGTAAAAAAAACTCAAAAATAACAAAAATAAAAAAAAACTCAAAATATGGAACCACCCCCGCAACCCTTCCCCACCCATCTGCTCCCTCCCGAGCCTCCCAACCACCTTTTTCTTCTCCACTCTCTTCACATCCCCTCCCATCCAAAAACCCACCCCATCCCACCTCCCCCGCAACCCCCCTCACTCCCTTTCTCCATTCTCTCATTCGCAACCCCACCCACCCTTCTCTCCTCTGCAACTCGCACCCATCTTCTTCCTCTCCTCTTCAACTTGCACTCACCTTTCTCCCCCATCCAAACCCTGCTCACCTATGTCCAACTTGACGATGCAACGCTCTCACTTTGTAGCTGAATCAGACTCCTCGTGGGTGTCCACTGAGTCAGACGCGTGGTGGAGCCTCGGATGCTCTTTTCCCTAACATAACTACGCATCGATAAACGCACAGCAATTCTGATTACGTCAATTCTTTCTCTCGCCTCATTTTCATGGTTAGCTCCGCCTCCTCCTTATTTACTCAACTCCTAATTTTGGCCTTCATTTATTTGTTTAAAGATTGCATATTGTTAAGTCAGAGAAGAGGTACTTTTCCAATTGGGGATTATTTCCAATTGATTGATGCTGTATTAATTTAGAATTTGCCCAATTGGGGTTTGAGAATTTTGGTTTTTATGGCTGTTTTGATGTCACATCCCGGCCCGAGGGGGACCACTTCTCGAGCCTGCTCCACCACCATAGCACGATATTATCCGCTTTGGGCCCCAACCACGCCCTCACGGTTTTGTTTCTGGGAACTCACATGTAACTTCCCAGTGGGTCACCCATCATGGGAGTGCTCTGGCCACCTCCTCGCTTAACTTCAGAGTTCCGACGAAACCCGAAGCCAGTGAGCTCCCAAAATGCCTCGTGCTAGGTAGGGATGGGAATATACATTTAAGAATCACTCCCCTGGGCGATGTGGGATGTTACAAGTGTGATAGATTGTAATGATCTTTCTTTTTGTAAATCTTGAATTAGATTGTGTTCTGTGCACTTTAGACAATTCCTTAAACTTTGTTACTTACTCTTAAATTTTGAGGTTATCCATGAATATTTTCTCCTAATCATTTCTATTGTAACCAATTAATGGCTTTCGTCACCCTGGGGTGTCGGCTGGCACGTGTCTATCCTGGTATTCGAGGAATATCAGGATCGGGGCGTGTCAGATTGGTATCAGAGCGTGGTTAGGATTTCTTTCCACCAATTTGGTAAATTTCAATCTTTCTAAATCTTGTTGTCTTTGTCAGAATCATGGCTAATCCTGATGGGAATGTGCCTTGACGACCTCGTACTTCTATAATGGGGTGAATCCAGCAGTTTACTAATGCTTTAATGAATGCTCTTCCGGGTCATAGACCGAATCAGACGTATTTAGAAATTGCTAGAAGTCATGGAGTTACTGAGTTAAGATCTGTGGGGAATGGTGAGGAGGCTGAGCAGTGGTTAGAGAAAATGGAGGATACTTTAGAGGCTATGAAATGTCAGTTAAATGAGTGGGCGAGTACTGCAGGTTTCTTTATTCAGGGTGATGCTAGGAGTTGGTGGAAATCAACGAAGGTATCTCGTCCACTTGGTTCTTGGATGACTTGGGCTACCTTCAGGAAACGTTTTATTGCTTATTTTCTAAGCCCCAACTACAGATTGAAAAAAAGGCAGGAGTATTTAGAGTTCCGACAGGGTGACCTCAGCATCACAGAATTTGACAGTACTTTCAGGCGTTTGGCTAGACATCATGATGGGACTTATGATAATTCGCAGGCACAGATGGATCAGGCGATAATTGCACTGAACCAGGAGTATCGTACATTGGTAGTTGCTTAGAGACCCAGAACTTATGAGGATGTAATCGACATAAGTCTGAGTATAGAACAGTCTAAGTGGGATACGGAGATGCAGGATCAACCTCAAACTTAGATCCAGCCCTAGAGATAGAATAGACAACGGAGTCAAAATCAGAGGAATTGAAATTTCCGGTCGCGGAGTACCAAAGAATAAGGGGGCCCCTCCAGTTCTGTCGGTCCCAGACATTCTTTTTCCTTTAAACAATCAAGTTGGGGTTCAGGGTCTTCCAGTGAAGGCTCATGCAACGAGTCGGCGAGACGATCTTTCAGTCATTTCACTTCAGTTTATTCGGTTTGTAATCAGTATGGGTTACATTATCGAGGGAGTTGTGGGATGACCGTTGTAGTTTGTCATATGTGCGGTGGTTCCGGACATTTTGTTCGTGACTGTCCTTCAGCACCATTTGGTAATTTTACCTCTGGCCCGAACTACAGTAGATATCGGCCAGTTCAGAATGTTGGCGCCCGACAGAGCTATGATGGTAGTGGCAGTAGTAATCAGAGCTATGGTAGTAGTACTAATCAGAACTTCGGGGGTATCAGAGTTATGCAGTTGGATGGCAGAGGTAGCCAGAATTTTAGAGGAAGTGACAGCCGAAGTACTCAGTTTTCAACCCAGCAGCAGGCTGGAACATCTTCTGGTAGCAGTAATCAGATGAACCGAGCAGGGCGTAGTTCCAGAGGTCGTGGCGGTCGAAACAATAACGCTGGGTATCAGGTTCATGGGCGTATGAACGCCATGACTCAGCAGGAGGCTAAACAGGATCCTCGAGTTATCATCGGTACGTTACCTGTTTGTAATACTTAGGCTAGAGTTTTAATTGATCCGGGAGCTACGCAGTCTTTTGTTTCTTCATCTTTTGCTCGGGTTATGCCTTCTCAACCTCAACCACTAGGTTTTGATATGCTGATTCAAATGCCAAGTGGTGAATTGTTTTGTGCTCAGTGGCAATATCAGAATTGTCCAGTTATTGTGGAAGGGGAAAACTTAGAGGTTGATTTAATTCCTTTCAAACTGGCAAAGTTTGATGTTATTTTGAGAATGGATTGGCTATCTAAGCACCGACCGAATGTCACATGTTGGGAGAAAATTGTGACGTTCAATCGGCCAGGACTGCCAGCAGTTTCAATTATGGGTGAGCAACGTGTCCTCCCCAATAGTATTATTTCTGCCATTCAAGCAACAAGGTTGTTGAATAAGGGTTGTGTGGGGTTTTTAGCCCACGTAGTCGTGAAAGATGAATCTTCTTTGCGTCCAGAAGATGTGCCTGTTGTAAGGAATTTCATCGATGATTTACCGGGGTTGCCACATACGAGGGAAATTGAGTTCACTATCGATTTACTCCCAGGTACCAATCCTATTTCCTTGGCACCTTATCAAATGGCGTCAGCGGAGTTAAGAGAATTGAAGATCCAACTCCAGGAATTGGTAAACAAAGGTTACATCCAGCCGACTAAATCCCCATGGGGAGCTCCTGTGCTTTTTGTTAGAAAGAATGATGGATCAATGAGACTCTGTGTCGATTATAGGCAACTAAATCAGGTGACAGTGAAGAATCATTACCCACTGCCTCGGATTGATGATTTGTTTGATCAATTGAAAGGTGCTCAGGTATTTTCCAAAATTGATCTTCGATCGAGTTACCATCAGTTGAGGATTCGCGAGGATGATGTCCCGAAAACTGCTTTCCGTACAAGGTATGGGCATTATGAATTTCGTGTCATGCCTTTCGGATTGACAAATGCACCTGCAAAATTTATGGATTTGATGAACAAAGTCTTTAGACCGTATCTGGATCGGTTTGTGATTGTGTTCATTGATGACATTCTAATTTATTCTAAAAGTGTGATTGAGCACAAGAAGCATTTAAGGCTAGTGCTGGAACGATTAAGAGATGACTAGCTTTATGCCAAGTTCAGTAAGTGCCAGTTTTGGTTAACTCAAGTTGGTTTTCTTGGGCACATGGTTTCTGCTGGAGGAATTAGCGTGGATCCCCAAAAGGTGTCAGCAGTGTCTAACTGGGAACAACCGAAGAGTGTTACTGAAGTAAGAAGTTTTCTAGGTTTGGCAGGGTATTATCGAAGATTTATTCAAAAAAATTATGCAATTGCTCTACCTCTTACTAAGCTGACTCGTAAAGGTGTTCAATTCGTGTGGGATGAAAATTGTGAACAAAGCTTTCAGGAGCTTAAATGATGCCTCACTCAGGCCCCTGTTCTCGCTCTTCCAGATGACAGTGGTGAATTTGAGGTGTATATTGATGCTTCTTTATCAGGTTTTGGGTGTGTACTGATGCAACATGGAAAAGTTATTGCCTACGCTTCCAGATAACTCAAAACCCATGAAAGAAATTATCCCACTCATGATTTGGAGTTAGGAGCAGTGATTTTCACTTTGAAGATTTGGATGCACTACCTTTATGGAGAGAAATGTCGTATTTTTTACGGATCATAAGAGTCTTAAGTATGTGTTCACCAAGAAGGAGCTGAATTTGAGACAGAGAAGGTGGATGTAACTTATCAGTGATTATGACTGTTTGATCGAGTACCATCATGGGCATGCTAATGTCGTGGCTGATGCTCTTAGTCGGAAACACAATGAGCAGCTTGCATCACTTCAAACTGTACACGTTCCATTACTATTTTCTCTTCGGGAAATTGGTGTTAATTTGGAACCAGGTGAGCACGGAGCTTGGCTAGCACATTTTCAGGTTAGACCTATTTTTGTTAACATGATCATAGAAGCTCAGGAACTTGATCCAGAATGCGACGAATTTAAGGCACAAGTGTTAAAGGGGAAGAATGATAAATTCATCATCCGTAAGGACGGAGCGTTATTGAAAGGGAACCGTTTGTTCGTGCCTAAAGATAATGAAGTTGTTAAGAAGAAAATTCTTGATGAGGCTCATACTTCAGCTTATGCTATGCATCCAGGGAGTACTAAATTGTATCGCACCATTTATCCTTTCTATTATTTGGAAATGATGAAGCGGGATGTAGCAGAGTATGTGAGCAGATGTTTAATCTGTTAGCAGGTTAAAGCAGATAGGCAGAGACCTGGGGGACTGATGCAGAATCTTCCGATACCAATTTGGAAATGGGAGGATATCACTATGGACTTTGTATATGGATTGCCTAGAACACCGTCAAGGTATGATGGTATTTGGGTAATTGTTGATCGACTTACCAAGATCGCTCATTTCTTACCAGTTCGACAGACCTACTCACTGGAGAAATTGGCGAAATTATTTGTTGATAATATTGTTCGTCTACATGATGTGCCCGTCTCCATTGTGTTAGACAGAGATCCTAGATTTACTTCGAGGTTATGGAAAGCCTTTAATGCCGCTATGGGTACTCAGTTACTGTTCAGCATTGCTTATCATCCATAAACTGATGGTCAGTCCGAGCGGACGATTCAGACTTTAGAGGACATGTTGAGAGTGTCTGTATTACAGTGGAAAGGTAGTTAGGATAACTATTTACCGTTGATGGAGTTTGCTTACAATAATATTTATCACTCGAGTATTGGTATAGCGCATTTTGAAGCCCTTTATGGGAAGGCGTGTAGGACGCCATTATGTTGGACAAAGGCAAGAGAAAGGCCGTTGGTAGGACTAGAGATTGTGGATACCACCAAAGCTAATATTCGATTGATTAAGGCGAATTTGAAAGTAGCACAAGACCGACAAAAAAGTATTGCAGATAAGCACTCCAAGGATTGTGAGTTTTCAGTGGGCGACTTTGTGTTCTTGAAATTATCTCCCTGGAAGGGTGTTGTTCGTTTTGGTAAGCGAGGAAAGCTGAGTCCTCGATTTGTTGGTCCTTACCAGATTATTGAGAGAATTGGTGCAGTTGCTTATAGGTTGGAGCTACCACCGGAGTTGTCTCAGATCCATAACGTTTTTCATGTTTCCATGCTTCAGAAATATGTACCAGATCCCTCTCATATCATCCAGATAGAACCATTGGAAGTAAATTCGGATGCTAGCTATATAGAAGAATTGGTGGCTATCATTGACAGACAGGATAAGGTGTTGCGGAACAAAGTTATTCATTTGGTAAAGGTACTATGGAGGAACAATGTAGTTGAAGAAGCTACTTGGGAGACAGAGGAATCAATGCAGAATCAATATCCTTTTCTTTTCATGTAACTTTGCAATTTTGAGGACAAATTATTTTAAGGGGGGTAGATTGTTACAACCACCCCCAATAATATGTATTTTATGTAACCTTACCCTAAACTGCCACGTGGCAGCCATCTAACCCCCTCTCATTTCTCTCTTTCTGTCACCCCCCGAGACCTCTCTCTTCTTCGTCTCTCTCCCATATCTCTCTCTCTCAGCTCTCCCGTATATCTCTCTCTCAACCTCCCGCCTCACTCTCTTCCTCTGGACACTGGGACCGTGTCACCACCAAGGGAGGCTCACAACGAGCCCAGGAATTCCTCCCTGTGAGTTCTACGGTACATGAGCAAAAGCTCCGACGAACTCCTCTTTTTCCGTTGGGTAAGTCACGAATCTCTCCTTCTCTCTCTTATCGTGATGCTTGGGTGTGTTTTATGAGCTAGATCCTTCCTTTTTTACGTAGGTTTTGCCTCGGAATCGAGTTGGGTTGAGCACACCCATTTTTCCGGCGAACCCTTGTGCTTCGAGGGGATTTCCGGTCACCTTCGACCGTGTCACGATTATTTGAAGGTAGAAATATCTTCCCCTCACCTTGTTCTTCATGTTCGTACTTAGATCGGAGTCTAGAACCTCCGTTTTCAGGTTACCGGAGCTGTAGCAGCTCCAGCCTTCTTCTTCCTCGGCAAACCAGGCCTCTCAGGCTGTTTAGAACCCCCCACAGGCCTTAAGCCCGTTGTGCCTTAGCCCAAAACCCTAGCCCGCATTATTTTTATTTTTAGTTATATTGTTTTAAAGACCCAAAGGGCCTTGGGCCGGTTTTTGTTAAAAGGCTCAAGCCCAACCTTTTATTTTGTGAGGCCTTGGGGCCTTTATGTGGGTGTGTGTGTGCTGTGAGGGCCGGCCTTTGTGCAGCCCGTGTGTGTGTGTGTGTGTGTGTTTAAGTGTATGTGTGCGTGTGTATATATGCATGCCGTGCATGTGTGTGTGCTTATGGTGTGTGTGTGTGTTTGGGCTTAAGCCTAAACCACCATTCTTCACCTTAATACCCTTTTTACCCAAAAATCCTAGGACCCTAAAATCTATTAAACCCTAAACCATCCAACCCAAATCCTTTATTTTAATTTAGTTCAAGCCCAAATCTTTTAGAAAATCCTTTTATTTATTTATTACATTTTTGTGCTTAGGTGAAGTTGCTAGTGAGGAAATTCTTAATCCTTATCCGCGCAACTCTACTGCTAAGGAATATTTGTGAGTGGACCCCTTCTAAAATTACATGATTTTATAATTTAATTACATAAATGATTAGCATGCCTACGAGTTTATGATTTGATTTATATCAATCCTGTTTACTAAATATATTGATTTTCGTCTCGTGTTTTTTGTGAGGAATAAATTGTTAGCCTATTTTGAGCTATATTTTAATATATTGTATTTTCTATAAAAACCATGAACTGGTAGACTATCCGATGGATGACAATAGGATGCTAGAACATGTTTTCGAAACCCCTCTTTATAGTATAGACGATGGATGACTTTATACTATGAAGTGGTTATTTATGAGAGGTGTAACTATTTGTGCGTACCTAGTAGACACTATGCCGCCTGGGGCGAGGATCTGGTGTTGGCATTTAGGCTGGGAGAAATAATCCCTAGCTGCGGGCTGAGAGATATGGAGCAGGTATTGGGCCGGGAGTTGGTAATCTCTGGCTATGGGCACAGAGACCACGGAGCAAGCATTAGGCCGGGAGTTTATTTGTTCAGTGATCTTTCTAGCAGCACACCGCGTTTTATGAGACGATTTATGATATGTTTATTGCTTTGGTTTCCGCGATGTTATTCCGCGATATGATTTTGGAGATATTTTTGGCATGCTAAATTTTTGATTAAATCCATCACTTATTATGTTAGTAGTTTTCATTATTAAACTATGGGGATTAGTACATTGATAACTGTTTTATTATTATTGTATATATGAACTTGGTCCACTCACCTTTGTTTTGCGCCCCCATTCAGGTCATAGAAACGAGGACAACGACTCGACGTACGAGTCATTTCCCTACCAATAGCAATCTATCACCCACTTGTGTGATATCTTGTAATGATCTTTCTTTTTGTAAATCTTGAATTAGATTGTGTTCTGTGCACTCTAGACAATTCCTTAAACTTTGTTACTTACTCTTAAATTTTGAGGTTATCCATGAATATTTTCTCCTAATCATTTCTATTGTAACCAATTAATGGCTTTTGTCACCCTCGGGTGTCGGCCAGCACGTGTTTATCCTGGTATTCGAGGAATATCAGGGTCGGGGCGTATCATTTGAACTTTTGAACTTTTTGTGTAGGAGTTGCAGAGGAGAGGAAGAAGGTGGGTGCGAGTAGAAAAGGAAAGAAGGGTGGGTGGGGTTGCAGATGAGAGAAGGGAGAAAGGGGGTGGGGTGGGTTTTTGGATTGGAGGGGAGGTGAAGAGAGTGGAGGAAAGGGAGGTGGTTGGGAAGCTTGGGAGGGAGAAGAGGAAAGGGAGGTGGTTGGGAAGCTTGGGAGGGAGAAGAGGGTTGGGAAGTGGTTGCGGGGAAGGTGGGGGTGGGTTCTGTGTTTTCTTTTTTTTTTTTTTTTTAATTTTTTGAGAAGATTCAGGTTTTTAAAAAAATAAATAAATAATTAGTTATTTTTTGTCACGCGGCACACATTTGGCAATCACGTCAGCTCTTAACAAATCAATGGATGGAAAATGTAACGGATGTATTATATTGAAATAAAATAGTACTTGAGGTATAAAATTGAAATGTTTTAAAGATATTGTAAGAAATTGAAATCAACCCCAAACTTGAGGTGGTAAAGTGTAATTTACCCTTCATAGATTTTCTCTCTCGCTTACATACTTGATTTTTTATGCTTTTAAAAATAACAACTTAATTTATAATTTACAATTCGTCAAGAGTTGGTAAAACAAAGCACATTGGTTTAGTAGAAGTTGTGTGCCATTGACAATAGCTTCTACGTCTGGTTTGGTTTTTGGTGCTTTTAGGCAAGAACCAAAAAAATGAAAGCACATTTGTTACTTCTCTCATGATTCTACTTTTTTTGTTTTCATTTTTTTGTTCTTGCCTTGTGGAATTCGAAAAAGACTATGCACTGCATTGCCTTCTTTGAAAACTATAAACTGTCCAATGAAATGAACGCTTTGTGGAAACATTTTGAAGTGGTTGGAAAAAAAAAATATTAACGAAGAAGAATATATTTTGAAAATTTGGAACAATCATAACTTATTTTCCCAATCGAAATATTAAAACATTTGGTTGAATTTGTGGAAACATTTTTAAGTGGTCATAAGAAAAACGTAATCATAAACAACTAGTTTTTCTAAAATTTGGTGGAATTCGGGAATGAACCAGTTTTTCTAAAATTTGGTGGAATTTATGTAGAGGGAATGAACCAGTTTTTCTAAAACTTGGTGGAATTCATGAAGAGGGAACGAAAGCTGTCATTTCAGTAATTTCTGTACACATTAATAATTATAAAATTACTGAAATTTGGTGGAATTCATGAAGAGTGAATTTTTAATACACTTGTCACTTTGCTCATAGCCATCTGAAGCTAAAATGACCCGTCTCTCATTATTTTGCTTTCACGATCGATCTTGTATGGTCCTGATCTATTGAATTAATTAAAGTAACCAGCAGTCCATTAATCTGACAATAAATTCAAAATTATTAGCCTGAATATCACTTTTGGACATTAACGATTCAATAATTTATTTTTCTTTTTTGAACCGTTGACATCCTTTTGTAGTCCTGAAACACTCACACTTGAGTTCCTAAAGCAACTCAAATCCACTACATTTAAATCAGTACCTTGTATTATGTGTTCTTCCAGGAACCTTTTTTTATGAACTAAACGTTTATAAACTAAATTGAACCTGTATTTTCAAATTTAGTGCCTTTGAAACCTAAAGTTTTCATAAAACAATACACCCACGAAAGCCCGACGTTTTTCGTGTACACCATGTCTTAGAACTTGAAATGTTCTAACTTTGAAGCTCATGGATATCTTATTTCCATAGCACCAATCACAATCTTGTTCCATCTATTCAATGGATTGTCGAACTGTCACAAGTTTGATTTCACTGATTTGGACGTTCCTAACAGAAACCACTTTATGTGGGTATAAGATATGAATCTCCACTTGACTATTAAGAAGTTGAGAAACCATTGAAGCCAACAATGGCATGAAAAAGCTGAATAGGCCTCCACCATGTTTTTCACTCG